TTAGGAAGGATGCTGGAACATCGCTTCAGATATTTGCAATCCACTGTCACGTGTTTCATTGACTTTGCAGCTGCCTTTGATTGAATTGATAGAAAGGCGCTTTGAGAGTGATGGAATGCGACGGTGTTCCAGAGAAGAAAAGAAAATCATTCGACTCATAAAGGCATTTTATGAGCGTACGTCGGCGGAGGTCTGTACATATGGGAAACTGACAGACTCCGAAGAACTGGTAACCGTTAAGGATCCGTTCTTTCCCCCAAAATATTAAACTATGCGATAGACAAGGTAATGAACACCGTTTGTCAGCACTCAAGGGGCATCCAAATCAATCCAGAGCACCGTATCACAGATCTTGAATACGCTGATGATGTAGTCCTTTTTGCTGAGTTTTATGATGAAATGCAAATAATGCTAAATAACGTGTCAGCAAATGCAGCGAGAATCGGACTCAGGATCAATGGAAATAAAACGAATGTCTTTTTGTCTTATGTGAGAAGCTGATAAAATACCTCTTTTTGTACATTCACTGCCGGTTGAGGAAATGCTCGATTTCAAATACTTTGGGTCCACTCTAATACCAAACGGACAGGCAAAAGATGATATTAACTGATCACGGAAAATAGAAATGCGTTCTTCGGGTTTTTGGGTTATGCGTTTTTTGACGAAACTTTTATGGATTCGTCTTGAAACGAAAGTCCTCATCTATATACCGTTCGATCTTGCTATATAGTTTTGAAACGTGGCCAATGAGAGTGGAGGATATTAAGAAGTTATCTGCCTTTGACCACTCTTGTCTAAGGTACAGATCCGTCAAGCAGATAAGATATCACATGATCGTATCCATCTTCGTTCAAATACCACTTGTATTAATAATGTTATCACATCGCCTTTATTAGTTAGGAAACGTTCTCCGTCGTCCACCACAGGAGTTGACGCATATTTCGTTATTTGCTAAACCATGGGATGGTTGGCGTCAAAAGCGAGGCCAATCAAGACCTGGACTGATACGGTGAGAAAAGATTTTGAACGTATAAATGGACCAGCAATATATGGAATTAGACGATGAAAAAAGTAATGGCTTCTATTACTGTCGCGATGGCATCAGACCGCGCCGCTTGGAATGATCTTACCCTCGTAGCCGTTGGAGCCAGCGTAAGTAGTAATTGTGAGAGGTTTTAGAAGAAGTCCGATCAGATATTTATGTTTAACATCAAACATATAAAATGCAAGATTCTTCAGCATCTTATAAATACAAACAATAATTTACAACATACACATTTCATCAGGCTATTCTGCTGCTACCTCACCAAAAAACTTCTTGCGCACCACACAACGAGCAGCTATGATCTAATTATCGAAAGTTCAAATATGGACGAATTTAACAATGCATTTCTTGGTAACACTAAAACTCGGTCTGGATCGATTATGAATCGACTTAGATTATGATTTGATAAGGGATTTTGGTGCAAAGGTTTCTCGGTATTTGAAGTATTTGTATCTATTTTTTATAGATTTTTATAGATTTTTTATATTTTAAAGATATTTTTTGCAGTTTTTTCACCGAAAGTGCCGCTGAAAAATACCTTCGAGGTCGTTTTTTTATCGTGTTGCGAAGTTCTTAGTTATTTTTCAAATTTTTTTTTTCAAATTCAAGCGCTTAACTTCTGGCTTAGTTGAAGGAGAGAATGGAGGTTTGTTCAATGATGCCTATACTCCCACTGATAGGAATGAACCGAGCCTGTGTTGCTTTCATATGAACCAAGCAGCACAATACTTTGCTATAGATTCTCATTTCTCTAGATTATCATCTCCAACTTTTCTTAGGATAAAACTGGGGAAAATAAAATACGCATTCGAATAAAGTATTGAAACTAAGCATCACTGAGAAAATAATGTAGAGGTTGAAGGGATTGCTAAGATATCACTGCATCTGTATTACTATCCTGCGGTGTTTTCTCGGAATATCTGTTTGAATTGGAATAATTCTGATATTTTCAGAATGAATTCTCGCTCTTCGTGCCGTTGCTGGAGATGAACGAAAAAGGATTATTGAGGCGATAACAAAGAAATATAAAAATTACTTCCGCACTGACATAATGAATTCCACCAGTAAAGGTAAGTTTGTAACAATATTTATAAAAATAAAAATAAGACCAGAGGGGGGGGAGTTATTTCGTAGTTCTTTGAATGAATTTTGAACTATAAATTTTCAAAAAATTTTCAAAAAATGAAGTTTGAGAAAGGCTTCAAATATTATTTTTACAACTATTACCCTATGTGAGCTTCTGTCTCAATCATTTTATATTTTCCGTCGATGCAAAGAATAGAATTATGCAAGCCATGGTCTCCTGCAATTCTCTATGGATACGAAACTTGGACTTTAAGAAAGACAGAAAGAATCTTGATACTTTTGAACTTTAATGTTCAGAAGACTCATAAGAATGTTCTTTTCTTTGTTAATGAACAAAGAAAAGAAAAGAAACCAGTGTATCGTCGAACAAATAAAATCAGAGTTTTCAATTGAGGCATAAATGATTTGGATATATTCAATGAAGATTTCGCTCTCTGGAAATGGATCTACTGCTAAAAATAGTGCAAGAATACAGCAAGGTTGACAGATTCAATTACCGAGACGTTTTTGCGCTGCTGATAGTCTTGAGAAATATGGCTAGGAATCGGAATAACTTGGCTTGGAAACCATCCATCTATATGTCGCTAGGAATCGGAAACGACTTTATGGCATATAATCAATCAATTAATCGATGTTAATTAACAATCAAAAACAAAACTTATTCAAACTTGTACTTGTTATCAGTTCGCATTTACGAATAACATTATAAAATTTTTGGTTTTTTTATCGTCGTTTAAGATGGAATTTTGTTCCTACTATCGCCACGCTTCGTTAGATGATATGACATGACTCTCAGCGGCGCAGGTAGAAGGAGATAAAATTGCTCAGTTTAAAGCGCTAATGCTAAGGTTCTACGTCCGACAACTTCAAAAATCCAGGTGCTTGCAGCTGATTTATATTTCTACTACCAAATGAGCATTGGTAAAATTTGTCTGGTCCGACAAGACAGCGGAATAAGTCTTAACCAGCAGTGGCAAGTGCTCTCAGAAAAAAAAATTGGTTAAGTAAAATATTTTCGAAAATTATTCGCATTGAGAATTAATTTTTTTTAATAAGCACTGTATTAATTATTAAGTTTTGTTGAAAAATCTTACTTATTTGTCTTTCTTATTCTTTCAATTTTTAGATTATTACTATGCGATTGTAAGAAATATACCCAAGAGTTTTCGTAGCAAAAATTTGCGCCAGTATTTTTCATCATTTATTGAGAATGACTATTTTAATTGCTTTCATTATCGACATCGTCCAGAAATTAAAGTATATTATATTTTTATTTACCGAATATATGAAATTTCTGGTATTTTTCTGAGCCAGTGGTTCTTAACCTGCGTTATATGTTCTAGGTAACCTACAGACCAGTTATGCCGCATTTGCACAACTAGGAGGAGCCAGGCATTGATATATATATATCCGTTCCTATAAATTGCAGACCAATTCTGTGTATTGTACTCCCATGAAGGGTTGTGCTGTATATTATCTGCGATGTACCATTTCTTTTCGATAGGGGAATGTGGTGGGCACAAAATTTTTAACATTGGAAAATCATAGGCATGACAAAGGATCGAAAAGTAAATTTACAAAAGCTACTACTGAAGAAACTTCAACTAATCTTTATAAACTCATCTATTGGGGATCACGCGAAAGTGCAAAGAGACCATATATTCCCATATTCCGGGCAGATATGGTAGACAAAAGAGTTAATGATACCTTAGCATTGTTGAAAAAATGGGGTATTAGAGTTGATATTTGACGAAGATATCTTTCGCAGTATAGCAGGTTTTAAAAATGATGACATTATCTCTTTTTTCTCGGACACAACAATTTTTTTAAATCAATTAATATGCATTAATACGGCTGTTTCTCGAAGGCGGAATAGTTAATTAATTAATTGTAAAATCTTTTTTTCCACCAAGAATAAAGGAAAGTTGAGCGATGCAAACAAGGAACAAGTTTGGAACCACTGGTTTGCATCAGAATCATTCCTCACTTATTGCTAATGAAATAGTATGACCACGAGGTAAAATACAGAGTTGAATGTAGGTCAAAAATCATTAATGCGAATGGCAGAAGGGAAGATATGGATGAAATAGAGTAGGAAAGAGCGAGCATGAAACTCGATCTTTCGTTGGTTTAGCTGAAATTTGTTAAATTTTTTTTAATTTTCTAATTTTTTCTAATTCAGATTCTTACTTTTTATGTAAAAAATTGTTTTGATATAAATTTTAACAGTTTTCAATGAAAATAAACCAGTTTTTTTTAAATTCAAGGAAGAAATATATTTCAACTTAACCTAGGAAACATCTATGTATGGAATGGAAGGACCTTCGAATGCAGTTGAAGAGGAAAGTTGTTGTTGTGTAATTCGATTCGATTCATTAGAATTACGAGCTCGTTTTATCGATGATTACCATTTTAAACCTTGGACTGATGAGAAAGAAAATTTAATGGATTCAAGGTGTTTCATTTCTCCCATTAAACTGCTAGAAGTAAGATTATTATTGTTTTATTATTCTTCCAAAGCACTTCTTAGCACTCAGCGAAATATAAAACTTATTTTGGAATTTTACTGGATCATTAAGAATATTTTACATAGAAATAATAGTGAATCTAACCATTTTTTTTTCGCTGATTTCAGAAAAGATGTAATGTATTTCAACTCATTTGCCCATAGCTGCTGAATCTTATTTTTTAAGGTTTTGGAAAATCGAAATTTTATGCGAAATGTTTTTTAAAATGATTTTTAGTTTATTTATATCATTTTATATCATTTATGGATTTGTTCCACAGAAATTGTACGTATTATGATCCAATTTTCTAGTCTTCTGAAAAGGCTGCTCAGGGGTCGTTATCAGTTTCACATATATCGTCAATGTTAGAATTTCGTACTCCTTTTGCTTTACCGAGAGGAAATGTTGGAACATCAACTGCGCATCTACTGCAAATGGCAGTTTTTTAGATATTTTGACATTTGAATTAGATATTCGAATTTTTTAATGGGTTATGGTGTGTTTCCAATTTTCGTTAAATATTTCCGTTATTTTAATCTTTATTGAAACAATGTTGCAAAAATTTTGGTTTTTACCGAATTTCATTTCGGAAATCTTAATTTTACTTTCTTTCATATACAGATAAATGAATGTAAACTTCCTTCAAGTGCCATAAAAAGTTTGGCCTTCATGCACAAAAGGCAGAGAAAGTACGGTTCTGTTAATTACAAATATGAACCAAACGATAACCACAGTTTCGAGAAAACGAATTTTCTTAATTTCACTGAAAGATGGAACGAAAGTTATTCACTGCTAGATGAAAGGAAGAATAATCGGTGCGAAAATGAACGAGAAAAATCTAGATATGCTGAATTTACGGATAGTAAGAGTGATAGTGGAGATTCAGAAGATTGGGAAAGGTATAAAATTTTATAGATGGATCGTTGTCACTAAAATGAAGACAACTGTAAATTTATATCTTAGACACGAAGCGTTGAATGACGATATTGCGGAACAAGAACATACAATACAAAACAAATATGAAGAAGAGTTGGAGGTAAGTCAAGTTGAAATTAAATTTGTCGTATTGTCGTACTGGAGAAGAAATTCATTAATCACAGCACTTTATTTTCCAGGGTTCTTTGCGCAAGATACAAAAAACCTTCAACGCTATGACGATCAGTTATTTTTAGGTGACTTGGGAGAAGGGTGGTCCTGGCCTTGTTTGGCATTTGGATACCTTTACATGGAAGCAGATTGAAGAAGGAACTGATTCTGACTGGAAATGGACAGATTCTTGGGATGTTGACTATTCACTCTATGACGATGAAAATGTCTCGAGGAACGAGTAAGCTGTGTTATTCCCATATTAGCTATATTATTGCTCCTTATTTTAATTTTTATCGCACTTTTTCAGTCCATGTTTTTAATAAAAGCAATGTTCGTTTGATCTAGGTTAGGCTGCTCGGCTTTCAAAGAGAAAAAGAATGCAAAAAATGATATTAAAGGTAGAAAACGCGCGACAATAGTCAAATCTTACTTTGACTCTTTGGACAAAGAGATCGGCTATTTTGAAAAACATACGAAAGGTTTGGGCAGCCGTTTGATGAAGAGGTACGTTTTTTTCATATATGTTGGAAATCAAGTGCCTAATAAACCGTTATTTTTCACATTGGGCTCAGGCGTTCTGGATATTTAATGGCACTGAACTGGTGAAGCCCAGAATGAATCAATTGTTACAGATTTGGTTGGAAGCCTGGCGATGGCCTTGGAGTTGACAGTAAAAGACAGCCTAACAGTTCATGGGTGGATATAATGGACTCGTGTATAAAGTACATGGCGCATTATGGATCAGGTCTTGGATATCATGGTGAAAAACTTCAAAGACTCGGTCTCAGGCGCCAAACCTCACATTCAATCAGAACTATGTATGCAATTACATCTGCAAGCATCAATTTTTTTTTACAATTAGAAATCAGTTTTCTACTCACTCCTATTAAAGCGCAAAGGTGTAGAATTCCGCCGAAACTTTCTTATATTCTGGCGCATCACAAAACTTTATCCCCCAATTCTATTGTATACAACTAGCTACGGTAAATTAGAATTGTAATGAAATCTTTCAGTTATGACGAATCGCTCAATGGTGAACAGACCATCAGATCGATTCTTCCCGCGAAATATTGATATGATTGCTTTCATTCTTGTGTTTAATGAATCTCATTAATATATATCTATGAAAATCTGGGTTAAAAAGTAAATTATCATTTCCTGGAAAGATTTCAACTAATAGTGCTTGAAAACTTCGCGCCGACGTAGAACGATCCAAAATGTTATGTCAGATAAAATTTTGATGAACTTTTCAAACATCAGAACATTAGTTTATACGAGCTATGAAACAAATATATCAAATGTATTAAGCTGTTCAAAAAATATAGGAAAAAACGCTGTTGTGAACTAAATGAAAGAAACCTGCAAAAAAATCAAAAATATAAAACCATGTGAAGCGTGTAAAATATCAATTTAAAAACGTAAGATTGAGAAAAATACGATAAAAAAATGTGATAAAGGGTGAAAGAGTTTCGTCAAATGTCATCGATATTAACCTCTTCCCCAGTTAATGTTTGCACCTTGGATATCGACTGCTCGCTCTTTGTTCTATCTTTGCTATCAACAGTGCCAACAACGCAGACGCGATCGTCAAACTTAAAGCAAAATTTTTCAAAACTTGTTTTTCGAAAAAACTTATCCATTCGCTTTCTCAAATTTATGTAGAATAACCAACTTCGACAAAATGGTCATCATCGCCTTCTTCACTGTCATCTTCTTCGGCGTTTTTCAACCATTCAAGCACAGGCTTCGCTCTATTAATGATCTCCTCGCATAACTTCTTTTTCACATATTTTTTCACCGGCTGAAAATTCAAAGTTCAATTTCTCCAATGGCTTATGACTTATATGTCCTGGACCAAAAATACCTTTTCTCCCCATGCAAGAAGCACTTCTTCCTCAATTATATCGTTATCGTAAAGTGCTTTAATAATATGGGCAGACTTTGGAAGCAATACATCAACGTGTTGAGAGATTAGCTGCTCGATGCCACCTAACAGGTGGCGTTGTGCCTTAAAAAACCGTTGACATTATCTTGAAAGCTACAATTACAAAATAAAATAAATTAAAATTAGAACCATCTTTTAAATACCTTTTGATCACCGATGGTGAAACGAAGAAGTAAGGTGCGATATTCTTTTATCTGCGCAACTACATTTATATCGAAGAGTACATCAGCAAGAAGCAAAGTCGCTTTAGATTTCAGGTCAAGGCGCTCGGCTTCATTAAGCAAGTTCTTGCTTTCCTAAATAGAATGGCAAATTTTTATCAAAACACGAGATACGAATAAACACAATTAAAAGCCTAAGATGAAGAAATAGGATAAAAAACGAACATGAAGAGTTTCATTTTCTTTAGCTTTCAAAAAATAATTATGTAGCATATCCAATCTTTCATCAACAGATTTTTCCAAATCCTTGCTGATAATGAACTTGCCGATTTGAGCCGACACTGCATTTACTCCATCTTCAATTGGTTCGGCCCAATCACCGTCATCAACATCCTCAGAGCCGCTGCCATTCTGCAATTCGTTTTCGTATGAATACCAGCAGCTTTTCCGTTTACTTCTGACCAGGCAGTAAAAAAATAACCAAGTCTTTATCACTCAAAGCTTCTTCAGCAAAGGACTCCTCTGGCGTTCCATCCCCACTTTCCTTCTTCTCCTTATCTTTTTCTTCCGCTTTCGGCGGATTCTTCATGATAAACGTTGAAAGCTTATGTTTCGGATCAATTGTTGATGTGTTACCACAAGCTTTGCATTTACTGTAGATCTGATTTTTTCGCACAGCCTACAACTTAGAACATGATGATAATGACCCTTTCCAATTTCAAGAAATTAATATTTTAGACTTTAATAGTTTGCGCAGGTATAAAGCCATATTAGTCTTACAAGAGTAGTTTCCGGATTCTCGCAAGCGCCGCACAGCACAAATTTTCTGATAAACCCATCGAGTATGTCTTGCAGCTTATTCGCATCATGCTCTCCATTAACGATGAAACGCTCATTCTTCATATCAAAATTAGTCTGTGCACCAAGTTCACATCCAAAATATTTAGTTGGATCTGAAAAATTTTAGAAAAATACATTTGATAGAACAGAAAACGCTAGGTGGAAATGATCGCCGCACGATAGACATTTAAAAGTAAAATGTTAAAAAAGACAATTACAAGTCGGGGGACGTTCAAGAGCTTTTGCTATCTCGGTCATGTTTGCAATAACAGTTTTTATTCCATTTCCCTTGCCTTCCACCTGAAAAAAATTTTTTATCGCCAAAAAAAATTTTCTGGTCAAAATGCAAAAGATTTAGGTAATAAAAAACAAACTTTTGCTTGCAAACGAGGCATTTTGTAACGATAAAATGGATCGAGAACACTGCGATTGATATTGATGGCCATTAATGATAATTCTTTGCGTATCTAATGAATCGATGAAACCTAAATGAAGTGGCCTAAAAAACGAATGTTACCATTTATGTACCGTAGAGTCGTTACAGATCATGCTCTGAGGGAAAAATCCATAGAAAATTTCTTGCAATAATATACCATAGTAAGAAACTGAGAAACCTTAGGAAGATACCGTCCTTTGCCACCAAAATCAGTCAAATTTTGCCAAAATTCTTAATTTCCATGAAAAACACTTATCTATCCAGTTAAATTCCATTAACATCTCTCAAGGCCCTTTTCTATAACTATCAATCAAATCAAATTATGCTCCATCAAATTAGATGCAATTCTGTCTCATCGATGAAGTAAACCTTTCAACGTTAAATCCTCGGACAATATAATAGCGCCTTCCTCTCTTTATATCCATCAAACCCCATTGTTCTCATTTTTTTTTTAAATGTAAGTAGTAAGATTTCCCTCTAAATTTCATTTGGTGGAATCTCTCTACGGTAATCTGGCGGAATACGGAATTAAATTTCGTTCCATCAAAATGAAAACATTAAACATGCAAATTCTGTCTGCCTCTGTCGAAACTCTTTGATTACTCGTAAAACCCAACAAGATTCGTGAAAAGCCCTGGTAAACCCAGCAAACTCTTAACATTCCCAAACCATGTAGAATGAATACGAAGGTTTTAAAAAATTTTATGGATTAGATGAGCCACCATTACAGCCAAACAATGTGTTTCTATTTACAGACTAATAAATAAATTATTGATTTTATCAAGTTTGTAAAAAAATTTTTAGGCTAAATATTTTGCATAATTGCTAAAGAGAAGCAAAGACCAAGAATTTAACCGAGAATAATAAACGCAAAACCAACTAACGATTAAATTGTCTTAAATGACGCTTTAATGGGTACTGAATGATGCCAATTGCAATCCTTCTCACAGATATATTCTCCAAATGGCATACGTGGGTTTTGCCAATAGGTTGCGACTGCTCGCTAATCAATTTTTGTGGAATCTCCTTCAGTTTCTTTCTTTTTCGCGACAACCGCCCTGAATAGGTGATCCATTGAAATACTTACCCACGAAAAAAGAACTACTTTAAAATGTTAGAATGTTTTTGCGTCTGCGGAGCAATATATGTAACATACTTGCATTTTATGCGACTTTATCGACATTCGCGATTAATTATTCGCCTTGCACCATTAAAAAAAAGAAACTTGACAAATTCACACAAAGTGAAAGACCAACCTTCCTGAGGGTTGTCAACCATAAAATAATAATTGCTTGATCCGACAGGGTAAAAGTACATGCACCTGGAACAGTCCAGCGTTCTCTTCCTACTCGCAATATTCAAATAAATTTCTGGAAAGAACCATAATTTGAACAGATTAAAAAAACCAAAGGTAACAAATTTTCAGCAAAATATACAACAGTTTGACTCATTCAGTTACATTTATCACTTTAACAAGCACAATTTAAAAAAAACATTTAATCCTTCGCTAAAACTTTCCTTTTCCTTCATTTTCTTCCCACTATAATCTAATGAATAACATAATTTAAAGAAAGCCAAAAGCCCTCTCTGTTCAAGGGAAATCCGACGAGTCACAAAAAGGGACCCCCCTCCCTCCTGCACCACCACCTGCACCACACCTCCCACCCACAATTCCAAACAATACAACCGAGACATTAAGCAGTGCAACCCTCCTGCGAAGCGCTCATTCACATACTGATGATTTGCTGTATCTTGCAATGTTCTCCCACATGGACTAATGATTTCTCATTTTCGCCCCACCGCCTCGCCAATAGTATTTCCAGTATTCAGAATTCCTTTACTTCTCCGGTCGATATAGCCTTCTTAAAAATGGCTTCTTTTCCTTACCTCTTTTCATTTTCATCTCTCAAAATTCCGTAATCTATTCGCTCATTGATTTTTCTTTAACATGCTAACATATATAAAAATGTGAATGTTCTCGTTCTTCATCTTTTTTTCTTTTAATTTTCATTTCGTTATAATAAGACATCAATACTCACTCCTTCGTTCATAATGCCTCATGACGATCAATGAACGACGTCAAATTTTTGTGACTAATAATAGGTAATAATAACATTAATAAAAATAAACCGAACTCATAAAATTCGAATGATTTCCTGGCAATGAGTCGCGATTACTCGAGAAAACTCGGATGTGTTATTTCTTCCTACTTTTACTTTAACTGATTCTGTAGGCTATTAGGAGAGGTCACTGGTGAAGAGAGATGCAGCTGAGTGCTTAGCATAACTCGGATTCCACTTCAAATGATTAAGTTACCCCAGTGAAAAAGGTGAAACTGATCTTACAACTTGATATTCGTCGAAGCAACGTACTATTCACCCGTTCTACCTTCTCCACCCTTGAGCGAAACGCACATGGTGCTAGGGAACCGCCTGCAACCCTATTCCCAAATAACAAAATGGTCTTATCGTAATAAACAATGTGGCCGACTGAACCAAATATGGTGACACTTCAAAGTAACGATCTCTAATGCAATTTTTCCGCGCAGATTCAAATTCATCCTATTTATTTATAGGTATATTTAAAAAAATTTTGCTAAAATATAAATCAACTGAAATGCTATAAACACGAATGATAATGAAAGACACTTTGAAATCACCAAAAGAAATGATTTTAAATGATATTTTTCTAAAAGATTGGATAAATACACAAAGAAAGCGTAAGCTTTTACCTCACTTCATTTTTGATATGTCTTAGAGATGAGAACTGAGAGACGTCAGTCGACTGCTCATCTACTAATTGCCCGGTACGAATTTGACGAAAATCCTATCACTACAGTGATTAGATCAGCCACCCACCTATCAAGATCTGTTTCTCGATTCCAATATTTTCATGAGGAATAAAACTTATCATTAAAAAAACGAAGCATGGAGATCCATTAATGTTTCTTTCACTCGCTCTTTGGCCATTGCACCTCAGTTCGAGAACAGAAGTGAAAAGTTATTAGAGAATGAATTGAACGAATTCTTCCCAAATCCCTAAAATAATCCTTCGACATTCTAAAATATCCACTATACACCTTCGATACCCTAAGCCATTATAATTCTACCTTTTGCAGTTTTATAGTTACGACTGTGGCGAAAATGCTGCGAGGTTTGACGGATATTAAAGCAACAAAATAAACGGGGTGGTACACTGAATTTTAGAGGACTGAAACAGCAGAAAAGGTGACATAAATGAGAGATTGGAGCAAAACTGCAAATAGAGCTCTAAGGTGGAACCCCGGAACCAGGTTTAGAGAATTAAGAGATTTAGGGAGGCATTCCACAGAACATGACAAACATTAAGAGATATTGAAAAGTTCTGCGGACTGAGATTTCCTAGGCATTAGATTTTAAAGAATACGAGTGAGTTGCAACGAAAGGATACAGAGGAATTCGGGAGTACGACCGAATTGGCTTAATTAACAGAATTTAACGTAACATAATACAAAGGAATTAAAGGAGATGCTATGGTGAGATGAGTTTTGACAAAAGAATGCAATAGGGTCGAGTGGAGTGTCAAAGAAGATTAAAGGAGTTTTGCGGATATAAATCATTATACGAAGTTCTTAGGAACTGTCGAAAGACTGTAAAGGTTTCATAGGGTTTTAAGATGGTATAAAAAAGTTTTTAGATATTACTAACTGCATATGGCAAAGGATTCAGCTAGATTCGAGGGTAGACTGAGGAAACCCTATGAAATGTAGTCCCAGAGATGTTAAGATGCTGTAGCAAAGTTCTCCGCACTTAAAAGTGATACTGGCAAAGCATCAACATCAAGCGGTTTTTAAGAATACAATGGACTAGAGGAAATAAGTTGCTTAAATTTATTTGAACAGGGCAAAAATTTAGGTCAATGGTGAAAAAAATTCTTAAGAAATGGCAGAACTACCTTCAAACTTTCGCATATCCTCGATCTATCCTTAAAATCCAAACCTGCCAAATCCCAGTAACTCTCCTTTAACACCGAATTATCTCTATACTCGTTCGCTTCTTTGTCTTCTACTTATCCTCTTGTCCTCTTTTGTCCTCTTCTCTGTCTGTTCTTTTATTCTTTCTTTTACTTAACTTCTATTTAACTTGTAACTTGCAGTAGCGATGCGAAGTTTGACAGAGCATTAAGGAGAAAATGAGGGTGGGTGTTAATCTGTGCTGAGTATGAATAAAACAGTAGAAAGAGATTAGAAATAAAAAAATCAAAAAGAAACTATGGTATTGGCAAAATTTCAGGATTATTATTTCAAGAGTAAGAACTGTTTGACCGGATCGAAAATTTTCCACAGAATATGAGAAGCATTACGAGATATTAAAAAGCTTCACTGACTTCTTCTAACAACTCTCACCATTACTGGTTAGGCTGGCTCCAACGGCTACAAGGGTAAGACGTTTCCAAGCGTCGCGGTCTGATGTTATTGTCGACAATAATAGAAGCAATTCGTTTTTCCATCGTCTAAGTCCATATATTACTGGCCCATCTATACGTTCAAAATCTTTTTGACCGTGTCAGTCTAGGTCTTGATTGGACCACCTCGCTTTTGACGCCATCCATCACACGGTTTAGCAAGTAACGATATATGCGTCAATTCCTGTGGTGGACGACGAAGAATGTGCCCTAACCAGCGAAGGCGGCGCTCTGTGATAACTTATTTATGCAAGTGGTATTTGAACAAAGATGGATGCGATCATGTGATATCTTATCCGCTCGACGGATCCGTAATATATACCTTAGATAAGAGTGGTCAAAGGCAGATAACTTCTTAATATCCTCCACTCTCATTGGCCAGAACCATATAGTAAGATCGAACGGATCACGGCAATATAGATGCGGACTTTCGTTTTTATGGTGATTTCACGACGACTCCATAAAGGTTTCGTCAGCTGGAAGAACGCATTTCTAGCTGCCGTGATCCGAGTTGTAATATCTTTTGCCTGTCCATTTGCTATTAGAGTGGACCCAAGGTATTTGAAACCGGGCACTTCCTCAACCGGCAATGAATTTACAAAAAGAGGCATTTTATCAACTTTTTGCACATAAGACGAAAATGCTTTCGTTTTATTTACATTGATCCTGAGTCCGATTCTTGCTGCAGTTTCTGATACGCTATTTAGTATTACTTGCATTTCATTATAACTGTCAGCAAAAAGGACTACATTATCAGCGTATTCAAGATCTGTGATACGGTGCTCTGGACTAATTCGGACATCTCTTGAGTACCGACAAGCAGTGTCCATTATCCATTCACACAGTTTAGCAAATAACGAAATATGCGTCAACTCCTGTGGTGGACGACGAAGAATGTGCCCTAACCAGCGAAGACGACCTTCTATAATAACATTATTAATGCAAGTGATATTTGAACGAAAATGGATGCTATCATGTGGTATTTTATCCATTCAGCAAACCAGTAAAATACACCCAAGAATGGTCAAAGGTAAATAGCTTTGACCATAAAGGTAGCTCACAAAGGTAGGTAGCTTTTTAATATCCTCCACTCCCATTGGCCATGTCTCAGAGCCATATAGTAAGATCGAACGAATCACAGCTATAGCAGACTTTAGTTTTAATAGTAATTTCACGACGGCTTCACGAAGATTTCGTCAAGCGGAAGAACGCATTTTTAGCTGCCGTGATCCGAGTTTTAATAACGTCTTTTGCCTGAACATTTGGTATTAGAGTGGACCCAAGGTTTTTAAAATCGAGCACTTCCTCAACCGGAAATAAATTTATAAAAAGAGGCATTTTATCAGCTTCTTGCACATGAGACGAAAAGGCTATATGCATTGACTCTAAATCCTATTCTTGTTGCAGTTTCTGACAAGTTATTTAGCATCACTTGCATTTCATAATAACTGTCAGCAAAAAGGACTACATCATCAGCGTATTCAAGATCTGTGATACGGTGCTCTGGATTGATTTGGATGCCCCTTGAGTGCTGACAAACGGTGTCCATTACCCAGTCTATCGCATAGTTTAATATTGTAGGAGAAAGGATCTTGACGGACACCAGTTCTTATTTCGAAAAACTTTGTCAATTTCCCATATACACAGACCTGCGCCGACGTGCGAACATAAAATAAGTCGAATGATCATCTCTGGAAGATCGTCGCATTCCATTACCCTCCAAACTGCCTCTCTATCAATTGATTCAATCAAAGGCAGCTGCAAAGTCAATGAAACACGTGACAGTGGATTGCAAATATCTGAAGCGATGTTCCAGCATCCTTCCTAACGTGAATATTTGGTCAGCACAACCGCGCCTCGGTCTGAATCGAGCTTGATTAGGGCGCATCCTGCTGTCTCGTACTTCTATAAGTCTGTTGAGTAAAAGAGAAGCAAAAATTTTTGCTGAAACGTCTTGTAGGCTGATTCCTCGATAATTGTCGCAGTATGTCGTCCTATTACCTTTCTTGAAAATTGGGAGCAGAATTGCTTTGTTCCANCAACGGCTACGAGGGTAAGATCATTCCAAGCGGCGCGGTCTGATGCCATCGCGACAGTAATAGAAGCCATTACTTTTTTCATCGTCTAATTCCATATATTGCTGGTCCATTTATACGTTCAAAATCTTTTCTCACCGTATCAGTCCAGGTCTTGATTGGCCTCGCTTTTGACGCCAACCATCCCATGGTTTAGCAAATAACGAAATATGCGTCAACTCCTGTGGTGGACGACGGAGAACGTTTCCTAACTAATAAAGGCGATGTGATAACATTATTAATACAAGTGGTATTTGAACGAAGATGGATACGATCATGTGATATCTTATCTGCTTGACGGATCTGTACCTTAGACAAGAGTGGTCAAAGGCAGATAACTTCTTAATATCCTCCACTCTCATTGGCCACGTTTCAAAACTATATAGCAAGATCGAACGGTATATAGATGAGGACTTTCGTTTCAAGACGAATCCATAAAAGTTTCGTCAAAAAACGCATAACCCAAAAACCCGAAGAACGCATTTCTATTTTCCGTGATCAGTTAATATCATCTTTTGCCTGTCCGTTTGGTATTAGAGTGGACCCAAAGTATTTGAAATCGAGCATTTCCTCAACCGGCAGTGAATGTACAAAAAGAGGTATTTTATCAGCTTCTCACATAAGACAAAAAGACATTCGTTTTATTTCCATTGATCCTGAGTCCGATTCTCGCTGCATTTGCTGACACGTTATTTAGCATTATTTGCATTTCATCATAAAACTCAGCAAAAAGGACTACATCATCAGCGTATTCAAGATCTGTGATACGGTGCTCTGGATTGATTTGGATGCCCCTTGAGTGCTGACAAACGGTGTTCATTACCTTGTCTATCGCATAGTTTAATATTTTGGGGGAAAGAACGGATCCTTAACGGTTACCAGTTCTTCGGAGTCTGTCAGTTTCCCATATGTACAGACCTCCGCCGACGTACGCTCATAAAATGCCTTTATGAGTCGAATGATTTTCTTTTCTTCTCTGGAACACCGTCGCATTCCATCACTCTCAAAGCGCCTTTCTATCAATTGAATCAAAGGCAGCCGCAAAGTCGATGAAATACGTGACAGTGGGTTGCAAACATCTGAAGTGATGTTCCAGCATCCTTCCTAACGTGAATATTTGGTCAGCACAACCGCGCCTCGGTCTGAATCGAGCTTGATTAGGGCGCATCCTGCTGTCTCGTACTTCTATAAGTCTGTTGAGTAAAAGAGAAGCAAAAATTTTTGCTGAAACGTCTTGTAGGCTGATTCCTCGATAATTGTCGCAGTATGTCGTCCTATTACCTTTCTTGAAAATTGGGAGCAGAATTGCTTTGTTCCAATCATCTGGTAATATTTTTTTTTTCCATATTAAAGAGTACGTTATGAAGGACAATAGACAACATTTGAAAAGCTCAGTCCAAAAACCATCTTCTCCTGGAGTTTTATTGGCCTTAACCTTATGGATGACGGAAATTATTTCTTCCTCTGTCGAGGAATCGCAATTGCAAGCATATGATTCAGCGAACGTATCAGCTATATCAGGAGCAACAGATGGCGTGTCATGGCTAAGTTTGACCTAAAAGAATTCTTTCCATCATATGAAGCATTCTTTAATACTTTTGATTAGTACGTCATTGCTGTCTCTTGCCATTTCACTGATCGTTTCCCGAATCATAATTGCTTTATGAAGAAAGCGCAACAGTTTCCTATTATCGCCTAATCAAACCGCCGTCTCCATTCTTGAGGTCATGTCACTCCAATAGTTCCTCTGTGCTGCTTTCGTTGCGATTCTTCGAAGCATCCGGTAGTCAGGAATCACCTGACATTCTTGTTTTTTCAGACAGTTGGACAGTTGCTTCCGATACTAAACTAGCACATTTTTTACTAGTATGCCCTGGTGTGGAAGCTGTTGACTTTCGTAGACATTCCTTTAGTTTGGACCAGTATTCATTTGCAGTTCCAGAAAAATCATTGATACTATATCATTAAGATGCTTCAATTCGGTTTGAAATGTGCTCACTGTCACTCATTCAAATTTTTTAATTTTAATTTTTAGTATAGTTAAAGGATTTTGGGGGATGCTGTTTTCTGCGAATTGTCCGTTTTATGTGGATTTTGGCCCGAACTATAACATGGTCAGATCCATAAAGATTTCCCGTTTCAGCGCCCCGGTATTAATGACTATCTAGTATGGAACTCATCCAATGGTGACTGACTAAGATATAATCAATCTGGTTGAAATGTTGGTCGTCCGGGGAGTTCCACGTGACTAGATGTTTTCTACTATGCCGGAAGTATTATAACAAAAAGTTCATGCTCTTCGGCATAACGAAGAAGACGTTCCCCATTGGCACACCGGTCTCCGATGCCATATTTGCCAATTGTTAAGATCATCGCAACGGCATTGTGATTTACGCAAGCATTCCAGTCTCTCCCCATTATGACCATGTCATGTTTTGGTAGAAACTTTGTTAGCGGTTGAAATTCCACATAGAACTTTTCTTTATCTCGCTCATCTGCCGACAGAGTTGGAGCATACACACCGATGAACGGGATAATTTAACCTTAAAACAGGCGTAGGCCATACGGTCGCTTACTGGTTTTCACTCAATCAAAGCGGACTGAGATTTTTCACATGACAGTCGCTACGCCATTTCGTGCCGAGCAATAATACAGCCAGCATCTCTGCTCCGAACCAGGATTAATAATTACTCAAAGTGAGGAAGACGGACCTCTGACAAGCAAGCGATATCCACATGATATTTAGACAAGGTGTGGACAGTGATCGCTTGGCTTGCAACGTCCATAAGCGTTCTGACGTTCCACGTTGATACGGCTAATACCTCGCCGCTTGATAGGTTTCGAGCAATTACTCTGGTTTGAGAGCACATTTTATTTACCAGCCTTGGGATAGCTTTAAGCCCGGATTGTAAAATTATCGCATGTACCACCGGGCTCGAAGTATCATGCGCGTCGAGAGACGCGGATGCCGTATCAAGTATATCTGACCCTTCCACCGTTGAGTCACTTGGGGATAGAGATACATGTGGGTCCCTAGTAACCACTCGGATTTTTGATATGACAGGTTTACTCCTGTCAGAGACATAATTATTTTATATTATTTTATGATATTATTATAGATTTTATATATATATACATATACATATATCAATTGGAATTCCTTATTTTTTTTATTTTCATTTTAAGAAAAAGAAAAGTAGGAAGAAAAAAGAAAAAGAAGACTTAGCTCGAAATTCGAAGTCTATAGAAAGTTCTAGAAAATATACCGAAAGAGATAATTGCAAGGAATAATGATACAGCCGTTCAAGATCAAATCATAATCCCTTTTCTCTTATTGGACTATTTTCACTGACTGTTAATTTGCGAATGAGTCACTTGGCGATAGAAATATAAATGGTTCGCTAGCGTCAGCCAGATTTTTAAAGATAAGTTTAGTCAGGAGTGGAACCCTTGCCTCTCAGTGGGATAATCTGAGTTATTACCTCTGGTTGTCCTCTATGCTACACTTATTTATAAGATATAAATTAGAAGAAAAAAATTGTTATGCACCAAAGTCAAGAAATAAAAGAATGATTCCAATAATTTATCAAATGATTTATTTTTTAATTTATAAATTTAAAATAGTGGTCTGGTGTGCCAATCGGGAATTGCCTTCTTTGCTTTCCCGAAGAGCGTGAACTTTTTATTACTAATACTTGCTTTCGGCATCCATGAAAACATCTAGTCACGTGGAACTCCTTGGACAACCAATACTTCAACCAGATTGATAATATTGATTCTTAATCAGTCGTCTTTGGAAGAGTCCTGTATTAAATAGTCGTTCCTGTCGCGGCACTGAAATGAGCAATCTTCATGGATCTTACCATGTTATGTTGTGACTTTTTCGTTTAGACTGAACGGGATTTGTAAGGCTGTCA